GATCCACAGTGCGAAGTTGATGTATTTCATTAGCGACCAGCACGGATCAGCTCCAGGCATGACGAAGCGGATATCGTTCTCTTTTGGAAGACCAAACAAAGTAGTTTCGCTTTCACAACAAAACACACAGCGTCTCCACAACATGGCCGCGGTGGCAACAGCGAGAATAAAAGTTTTCTTTCTTTGCGTGAACATTTGGGTGGCGTTATGCAAATCTTCCCACATAGTGAGGTAGATATGTGGGGGCGTGTTCGAACGAGCCGTTTTAGGTAGGTGTGGCTAACTCTTAACTTCTATAAAGAATATCTCTTTGGATTTGAGACTTTAGTCTTTGCAACTTTACAGATCTTCTTTATGCACCAAGAGCTTGTAACACTCTAAAGAGAAAGGAAAAAATGAAATCGCATCATATGACCCCTTTAAAATGCCCAACTTTACAGCAGAAAAAAATGTTTACAGCCTGGTACAAAAAGTGGTTTTGGTCTATATAGCTAATTTTGCCCTTCATGACAACTGTGAGGGGGGTGAATTTTTTTATAACTCATCCGTTTAAATTATATTAAGCCTTAAAGTTCTGCATAATTAAGGGTGTGGACACTTGAGTGACAGGTGGATTGCCGCTGCTGTCACCACCGTCGAGCTAAGCGGGCGTGGTTTCAGCAACCAGCTCATCCCGCCTCTTTGCCCATTTTCAATTATCCAAGAGTGACGCGCTGCCAAGATGGCGACGGCCGGCTCCGCCCACTTTAGGCTTCAAAAATGCTGTTTAGAAACCTACGGATGACATCACGGACACTACGTCCATGTTTTTTTTTACAGTCTATGCGTTTTACCCACAGTTGAACATTCTTCAACTCTCGGCGGCGATAAAAAAACGCCCGAGCGCTCAGTGTGAAAAAGACACTCAGCACTCGGCACGCTCCTGGCATTTTAAAAAAACGCGGCGCTCCCATTGAAAACAATTGAAAAAATACGCTAGCCTTGGGAAAAAACGCTTTGGTGGACATGGGGCCTAAATGTACCCTAAATTGTAGAATAACATTGAATTTTTTTCATTGAGCTTGTCCCAGTGCATTCTGGGATTGCCTTCTAGCAGATTTAAAAGTTGGTTAAAATTTACCTTTGAAGGCAACAATTAAAATGCTGTCTACGCAGGCAGTGCACTAGGTTTTAGAACAGAGCTAATGTTAACTTTAGTTCCATAGTGTGTTTGAATAGTAGGTTCACTATAATTGTCAATGCATAATGAAAGCCAGAAAGAGACAAGAATGAATGTGTTCAGATTCACATTTAACCATTCATTCAGTAATGTACAATATACAGAGCCATTTAAAGACACACACACTAACAGATGTGCAAGGATGACTATCTAAACTAGAAAAACTACAGTGAAAAGCAGCCTCATTGAGACACACACACTTGGCATTTGCTCGGGTTGCCATAGGTTCTCTTTAGAAATGACAAGTGTAGGTCAGACAGATGGATGAGAACATTAGAAGGAAGGGAGAGTGGTGGAAAAATAAATATTACGATAGGAAAAGCCTTGTCAACTGCTGTTCTCCTTTCTGTCACACTAAGGGCAAGACTCCTGAGAGCAGTGTGTGTTTGTGAGGTGTAGGTAACAGTTTAATAGCATGTCCGTCACATTTTTGGGCCTGATCTAATTTTGGTAATGAGCCTCGGGTTAAATACTGTAAACTCACAGCGGCGGTATCGGTGTACACACACACACACAGTCCTATCTGACCCAGCAGCTCTGTCCACCCTCAGGGCATCTATGCTTCCATCCATCCATCCATCCATCCGTTTCCAAACACGACACTCTCAGCTGCAGTTGCAAAATGACTGTTTTTCATAAACAGAAAAGAGACTGCAAGCTCATCTTTCCTCTCAAAGCACGGCAAAAAGAAACAGAAGAATAGATTTGCATATCCTGAAGGAAATATCACTGCTTGCAAAGTAGCAAAACAACATGTTTGTTGTAAAATAATACAGAAAAGAAAAAGAAAAGCCAGAGAAGACATGGGACAAGAAAGGAAGTGGATGTTCATCTGCTAGCAGTTGAATTTTAAATGCCAAATAGGGCTGCGATTAATGATCATTTGATAACTGACTAATTTAAGGATTATTTAAGTTTATTTATAAATTAATTGATGATTTATTTAAGTCTAATCATCTATATAATAATAATAATAATAATAATATTTATTATTATAATAGTTTTAGTTTTATTATATTAATTATTTATAATTATTTATTATAATATAATAGTTATTACTATTGTCAACATCAACACCAATATTAATATTAATTATATAGTAAATAAAATAATAATAATAACATTAATAATACCAACATTGTGTGTGTACATAGATGTTGTAGTCGTTTTATGTGATATATATATATATAAACAGCAATATTAATATTAATTATACATTACATATTATTTTGTTAATTAGGAGTAATTATATTAACTTCACTAATATTAATATTAATTAATGTTTATACAATAATACGTGTAAAATATATATTACATTGTATATTAAATTATTATTATTATTAAATACAGTATATAATAATAATTATTAGCATTAATATTAACACCAATATTGATATGTTTATTTGAACAAAGTTGGTATAAATAAAGCTATATGATATGTCCTAATAAAGTCACCAGATAACTGGTGAGCAAATGTAGAGCAAATGAGGTGTATTAATTTTAGATCCTGTGTGGAGGTTAAAACACAAGTATGGATACTTCCGTCTCTCTCTCTCTCTCTCTCTCTCTCTCACACCCTTTTCAAGCTTCAGAAAAGGTCAGATGTCATGAATGCAAATGTCATGCACCAGGGGCTGCTAACTGAGAGAAATAGTTTAGAAGTGAGTGCGTGTGCCTGTCCAGCCTCCAGAACATGGACAGAGATGGAGAAAAAGCCCCTGCAAGACAATCTCCTACTGTATTACCCTGCAGTAATCCACAGGCTCAGCCGATTGTAAGTCAATTGTGACCTGACCGTGTAAGTGTGTGTGTGCTATAAAGGCCGTGTTCTATTTTGTTGTAGTATTTTTTCCCCTGAAGTCCAAGTTTATAATGTCTTGCACCAAAAACAGTTGTAATTTAGTTTTTCATTTTCTACTGTCTCTTTGACCCTGAGAAGACCCACACTGCCTTTATGGCTAACAATTTATGTAAACGATCTTGGTTATGATTGGCTAACCTCAACACAGACTAGCTGCTGAATACTGAATATGTATTTACAGTACCATTCAAATGTTTGGGGTCGGTAAGATTTTTTTGTTATTTTTGAAAGGAGTCTCTTATGTTCACCAAGGCTGCATTTATTTGATAAAAAATACAGTAATATTGTGAAATATTATTACAGTTTTCCATTTGAATATATTTCAAAATGTAATTTATTCCTGTGATGCAAAGCTGATTTTCAGCATCATTACTCCAGTCTTCAGTGTCACATGATCCTTCAGAAATCATTCTAATATGCTGATTTGCTGCTCAAGAAACGTTTCTTATTAATATTATCAATGTTAAAAACAGTTGTGCTGCTTATTTTGGTGGAGACGATGACACATGTGGTTTTTTAGGATTCTTTAACAAACAGAAAGTTCAAAAGAACAGGATTTATATTAAATTATTATTATTATTAAATACAGTATATAATAATAATTATTAGCATTAATATTAACACCAATATTGATATGTTTATTTGAACAAAGTTGGTATAAATAAAGCTATATGATATGTCCTAATAAAGTCACCAGATAACTGGTGAGCAAATGTAGAGCAAATGAGGTGTATTAATTTTAGATCCTGTGTGGAGGTTAAAACACAAGTATGGATACTTCCGTCTCTCTCTCTCTCTCTCTCTCTCTCTCACACCCTTTTCAAGCTTCAGAAAAGGTCAGATGTCATGAATGCAAATGTCATGCACCAGGGGCTGCTAACTGAGAGAAATAGTTTAGAAGTAAGTGTGTGTGCCTGGCCAGCCTCCAGAACATGGATAGAGATGGAGAAAAAGCCCCTGCAAGACAATCTCCTACTGTATTACCCTGCAGTAATCCACAGGCTCAGCCGATTGTAAGTCAATTGTGACCTGACCGTGTAAGTGTGTGTGTGCTATAAAGGCCGTGTTCTATTTTGTTGTAGTATTTTTTCCCCTGAAGTCCAAGTTTATAATGTCTTGCACCAAAAACAGTTGTAATTTAGTTTTTCATTTTCTACTGTCTCTTTGACCCTGAGAAGACCCACACTGCCTTTATGGCTAACAATTTATGTAAACGATCTTGGTTATGATTGGCTAACCTCAACACAGACTAGCTGCTGAATACTGAATATGTATTTACAGTACCATTCAAATGTTTGGGGTCGGTAAGATTTTTTTGTTATTTTTGAAAGGAGTCTCTTATGTTCACCAAGGCTGCATTTATTTGATAAAAAATACAGTAATATTGTGAAATATTATTACAGTTTTCCATTTGAATATATTTCAAAATGTAATTTATTCCTGTGATGCAAAGCTGATTTTCAGCATCATTACTCCAGTCTTCAGTGTCACATGATCCTTCAGAAATCATTCTAATATGCTGATTTGCTGCTCAAGAAACGTTTCTTATTAATATTATCAATGTTAAAAACAGTTGTGCTGCTTATTTTGGTGGAGACGATGACACATGTGGTTTTTTAGGATTCTTTAACAAACAGAAAGTTCAAAAGAACAGGATTTACTTGAAATGGAAAGAAAAAAAAAAAAGAAAGAAAAAAACTGCACTGACCCAAACATCAGAACAGAAGTGTACATGTAAATGTGGACAGTGACAGTGGTTGTGATGTCAATAGTATGACATTATGACCCATTTTTTAAGCTTAAGGTGTCTTTACACAACTGAGTTGAGGCAGCTCTGTGCCTGCACAAAATTCTGTGCAGAGGCGCAATGCCACATAAAAGCCAGACTAAATTATGCCTGCTCTGACCCGGCTTAGCCCCAAGTATCAAAGCGTATAGCTGTAATTGCTGTGGAAGTGCATTTATGCCATCTCTGAGCAGCATTAAACAGTCTGTGTAAACTGGCCTAAATGCCACTTCAGAAGCACTTCTGTGCCACCTTTGCAGTGTAAATTTGGCATTTAATTCATTACTTTGAAGGAAGCTTTGAGAAGATGAACAAGTTAAAACAAAGTGTGTTACCTGGTGAATCTCCTGCCAGCCGTTCTCATCCATGCAGCCCACCTGAGCGTGATCATGCAGCAGGAGCTCGCAGCAGTACGGGTCGCCCCCCACCATAGAGCTGTGATACAGAGGAGTCAGGCCACGACTGTCCTTGTAATCCGGAGAGGCGCCCAGATCCAGCAGCGTCTGCACATACAAGTCATGTTCACTTCTCTCAACTCCACCAATCAATTAGCCTGCCTCTTTTCTCCAAAATCCTGCCCTTAAAAAATAGTGCTGTTAATAGATACATTTTTTAAATCAGATTAATCACACCCTTTTTGTGTGATTAGTCACGATTAATCGCACACTTATCATGAAATTAAGCATATACATTTATCTTGTTTAACATGTTCATCTTGTCATTATTTGCTATATCCAGCAAAGTAAACCAACAGATTGAAGGGTGAGTCTTACAAAACTGTATTTTCTGCAAGTTTATTTAAATATAAATTTAGATGCCTTTTCAAAAAAGTATTACATACTACAGTACAAGGATCCATTCAGAATGACTAAACACAGCAACATATACACGACAAATCAAAACATCCTAAATGCCTGTGGAAACAACGTGAATGTACAGAAATGTGTCTGTGAATAATTACAATGTATGATCTGCGCATGTAGAGCGCTCATTCATGGTTTATTTGAGCATCAATCAGAGTAGTCCACTCATAATACACGACTTTGGGCTTCTTTTTTGTTAAATTGCGTGAAAAAATCCTGGGTTGCGTTTTTTTGGGCTTATTTTAAATAAATATGGTTGCTTGTTAGGAAAATCTGACAAGCAACTTTGTTTCTTTACATTTATGTTTGTCGTATTCTCCAGTGCATTATTTGACACTGTTAATAGCCAGTCAGTGCAATAAAGTGCTGTAGCGTAATTCGTCAAACATTCCGCCCCCTCCTCCCTCACTGGAGAAAAATCACGTTCAACATGAAAGCGATTTTTGAATTAATCGCATGCTTTAACGCGTTAATGTGAGACAGCCCTGCTTAAAAGACAAGTCAGGGAACCCGATGTTGAGGAACGTGACCACACTAAACTGACAGGCAGAGAGTGCTTCAAAGTTTGGTGACTGTCCAACTGCAGCACCCCACGGACAGATTCTTTTTTGCTTTTTACAGAGCCTCAGGCTGTCACTGAGACTATTTCAGTGATATCTGTCAATTATTAGGACATTTTATGCATGCTATTCCATAAAAAAATTGCATATAGCATATCTTTCTGTGTCTTGCTCAAGCACATGGTGGCGAAAGTTCAAGGATCGCCCCAAATGGGGATTGAATCTACAACCTTACCAGTCAAGTAAGACTTTTGACTATCAGCATTAAGTCTGGAGCAATTTGCAGCTTATCCTTGCAGATTTTCTGCTAGCTCCTACCAGTTCTGTAAGGCAATATAAATTAGGCGATCAGTGAATGGACTGTGGGTGTGCTGTCTGAGACTAAGACTAGACTGCAACAGCCAAGCTGATTTAATAGCCGTGACAAGTCATTCAATACTAATTTCATGAGTTCACATTCAAAGGGTATAATGAATAAGAGGAACGATGTGGAAAAGGGTGAGGTTAGGAATCAAGCTAAATGCCACCTGCACGTCAGACATAAATATGTCGAGAAAAGACAGACTTGGAGGAAAATAACAATGGTTGACGAACTGTCTTAAACAGTCGGGATATGGGAGACTGGGGCTAGTTGTCACAAGTTTTACTCCAGTGAATATATCTCATTATCTCAGGGCAGGTTTGTGCTTTACAGTCATTTTTGTATATGTAGACAATTGTTAAATAAAACAAAAAAAACAAAGAAAAAAAAAAACAATAATAATAGTCGGTGATTAAACTGACTTGGAACTACCTGTGCATTAAACGGTTTTAATGCATACCAGATGGAATGGTCTCCACTTCGCGTCGGGTGGTTCTTTGCCT